CCCCCCCCCCCCCCCCCCTCCTCCTCCTCCTGACACGTGCCCAGGGGGGGGCGGTCAGGCCGATGACGGTCTCAGCCTCGATGAAGCGCTGCTCGCACTTGAGGCGCAGCAGCTCGCGCTATTCTCTCTGGGAGGGGTGCGGGGTGAGAAGAAAGAGCGGTGTACAGGATATGGGAGGCGACGACAAAAATGGCAGGCAGCAGGGGACGGGAATTTCAGACCGAGGCGAGTGAAGAGGTCGGGAGAGGGGGAGACATTCAGAATCTCTGCAGTCCAGCCCAGGACTCTGGAGCACTCGAAATAGTGTGGCACGTGGTCACGGCCGCATCTGCAGCCAAATCTACACTGATCCCCGTCCTCTTGAAATCGAGCTGCCGTCGCCCACGCTCCAAAGAGTGATTTAATGTACGAAGATGAAAGAGCTGGTGGCAACTGGACACATGCAACCCGCACCCGCCCCCAGTCAATCTCATTAATCTCACTCGCGTGCAGAGGGTACCAATCCTTTAGACGGCGATCAAGAGAAGACGAGACAGCAGGAGGATGGAGGAAGCTCGAGATGGAGGCACACAACGCGCGCTGGAGCTTTGGACGTGCTCCAGCGTGCTGAGAGGGGTCCCTAAGCATGGCGAGGATCGGATGAGCCTCCTCCAGCGCAGCTCTACCACACTGCGCCCAAGCCGAGCTCGATGGGAAGCCACTGGCTGCCTCGCGGACATGCTCTACAATGCTGATATCGGCCCAGAAGGCCGGAGACAATTTGTTTGCACACAGGTCTCGGATGGACCGCTGTGTCAGAGCAGCTGCGTGCAATCGTGCAAATACTGACTCCCAGCCACGGAATGTCCACAGCGCGGCCCTCATGCGAGATGCAAGGTTGACCGCCAGTCCGCTTCTGAACTTCAGCGGGCGAAAGAGCAGTGTGGGACGCGATAGACAGAAGCTAACAGGGCATGTTCTGACTGGGGGAATCTGCGAGGGAGAGGGAGGAACTGACCAACGTAGGAGAGAGTCGTCAGAGCCCTTTTGTCGTACATTGCCGCGGCGACAGCAGTGGGAGGAGAGGCGGCAGCGATAGCTTGGACACGCAGCGAGTGCTTAGCTCGGGGAGCGATCCAAGACTGCCAGCGGACTTCAGGTCCAAGGATCAGACCGAGGTATTTCAGCGACGGGGAAATTTGAAACTCGGCCCAGGCTGGGATCACACGAGCGATCCAGTCTCTATATTTCTGGGCCAGGGCCGGTGTAAAGGGACCCGCAAGAGGAGTCAGAAAGCACTTACTAGCTTTTAAATGCAGGGCCGCAAAGGCCGCCGCGAATTGGAACATCTTGAAAAGGGTTTTCAACCCCGCTAAGACGTACACCACTGCTCCGAGGTCGTCAGCACACGCACGGGCCGCGCCAGTCGTCAGTCGCCTGTGCGTTTTGGAGCTCATCGTCGAACTAGCTGCTGGGACGGCTCTCTCTTCAAAGGTGTCCTCGAGCAGGGCAAGAAAGGGGTGAGAAGCGAGGGCGTACAGGACACCACTGCCAGGACAGCCTTGCACTATACCCGAGAGGATGTGAAAGAGCGGCAGCAAAACATGTCCAGCCATCGCGAAACACAGAACATTCGAATATATCACTCGGACGAACCATTTGAAAGGAGAGGGGATAGCGAGGGAGTCAACGACAAGAAGGAGCCAGGGGTGAGCGAGACTAGAAAATGCGCGTGCGAAATCGAAGCTCACGAGGGCAGGGAGGGCATGGGGGGCACACTCACGCATCGATGCCACACGTGCGTACATGTCGAGCTCGATCACATTCATGCCATGGTTCCGCCCCCGAACGAAGCCGTGCTGCAGCTTGCTGACGAAGTTGGGGATCTCTACAGAGAGGGACCAGAAGACTGCTGCCGTCATCACCTTGACGTCCGCGTTTTTGAGCCCGATGGGGTCTGGTCTGGGAGGCTTCACGTATGATACCTTCGGGGCCCCCATCTTCTTCCCCCTTAGGGGTGACAGTTTTTCTGAGATAGTTGAAGTCACTTCCCATGTATTGTCCACTAAGACACCACCACATCACCGTTGTCAGGATCTGGGGCCCGCGTGGGTGATAAAGCCAGCCAGCGCAAGGTAGGCCGTCTGGCCCAGGAGAGCTGTTGGAGGCCTTCTGGAGCACCCTAGAGATCGTGGCCTGGGACGGGGGCGGGAGGTTCATGAGGTCCACCTTGGGCCCGTACTTTTCGACAAACTCGGCAGCTTTCTGGATCCCCACCTGCTTCGCACTGAAAATCTGCCCCCAGTGTGAAGACAGCGCGCCCAGCATCGCTTCTGGCGCTGCGAGAACCTGGCCTTGATGTCGCAGTCCCTGCAACACCAGTCGGCGATCAAAGGGAGACCATAGCCTAGCTCGTTTCGCCAACCCACGAAGACGACGGCGAGTTTTCTTCTGGACCACGGCGGGGTCGTCGGCGTTCAACGATGAGCGTAGCGCAGCTTGTTTCTTTTCCACCATTTTGTACTGGGTGACGTTAGTAGCCATCTGGAATTCAACAGGGTGGCGAAGCCGAAGGACGCCAGCAGGCTCGTCTATCTCCAAATAGCGGCGGGCGAGACGGTGACTGGCGACAAGACGGCGTCCCATATTCAAATCCTGCTGCCAGAGAGCCCTGGAGATCGATTTGTAGATGATGAGATGGGTAAGAGTAGCTTCTGGGTCCTTGAAGATCATGATGTTTCTAGCGTGCTGGGCCGCCGATCTCAACACCTTCTTCTGAAAAGCAAGCAAGAGCGGTGGTGACAGCGGGCTCGTGTCGACATCCAGCGCAGCAGCCTGAACACATTCCCGATATTCTGGGCGCTTGAAGATGTCGTGGGGGATCGGCCTATCTTCGGGCTTGAGAGGGTCCCTGGGGTTCATCACCGTCGAGACTGCTGCGTGGTCGGACAGCTCAAGCAGGTGCATAACTTCAGGAAAGCCGTGCATCTGACCAGCGGTACTAAGTTGAGTCAGAGCCCATCCTGGAACACTTACAAAGAGGCGGTCCAGACTAGAGGTCGCGTGGCTAGGTTTGTGATACTGAGTGCGGTCCCCCACCTCCACCTCCGTCATAAGCCCGAAGATCTGGCGCCACACGGTCTCTCGCTGACGTCGCCAACCTTGCAACTGCTGCTGAGCAAGAGGATGGTCGTGCAAATGGCGCGGAGGGAGCTGTGACACGTTAAAGTCCCCGACGACAACCACGAACGAGTGCATGGGGTCCCGAGAGGCCCTGGCGAGGTCGTCCTGAATTGCCTGGAAAATGATATCCCTACGGTAAGTGGCGAGGTTATGGTTATGTTGTTCCAATGAGAGATCCAAACTCCATTAGGAAAACGAATTTGAAGCTGTTGAACGCGTCCTGGAACCCAAACCTGATGAACAATCTGCGGACGATTAGTTTCAGGGAGCTGACCAAAATCAGGAGCGAACGTAATAATTCCCCCCGCATTAGAGGGAGCGTTGTCCTCGCCAGAGTCACAGAAGGAGGAGAAGGCGCGGAAGGGACGATGGAGGAGGTAGAGGAAATCATCAACTTCAAATTGCGTGCCGTGACATTCTTGCACTGCAACCAAGCCCCCTTGGACGAGCAGTGACGAAAGATATGACAGTCTGCGGCCGCGAAGCCCCAGTTGGTGATGAAAGAGAGCACGAGCATTCCATGAGGCGAGAAACAGCGGCAGCTCCTTCGGGCCTCCACCAGCCCATGTCTTGAAGAATGTGTTAGGAGCACCACCGCGTTGGCTGCGAGGTGTTCGAGAGCGCCGCATCAACTCTTGACTTGATGGCTTCCTTGACCATGCCAAGCTCTTGCAAGTGGTCATCTGCATACTCGACCGTGGGCTGCACCCCAGGGCCGCTGATAGAAATCCTGAGCAACTGTTTCCATTGTGCTGAGATCGTGCCCTGGGATTTGTCCGTGAAGAACTTGATGTTGTGCGGGTGAACGCCATAGATTGACTCCAAAACTTTGAGTGCACGTTTGAGCGATATCTCTGTCTTGACCATGTCTCCCCCTCCTCCTCCTCCTCCTCCGCCTCCTCCTCCTCCTCCTCGTCCTCCTCCTCCTCTTCCCCTCTCCCCTCCTCTCCTCTTCCTCCTTCTCCTCCGCCTGCTCCCGTCCTGCCCGTCCTCCTCCTCCTCCTCCTCCTCCTCCTCCTCCTCCTCCTCCTCCTCCTCTCCTCCTCCTCCCCCCCTCCTCTCCTCTCCACTCCCTCTCCTCTCCTCTCCTCTCCCTCTCCTCCGCCGCCGCTCGGGCCAGCGGCACGGCGCGGGCGAGCGCGAGCGCGGGGGGTCCTCCCCTCCCCTCCTCTCCCCCTCCCCTCCTCTCCCCCTCCCCTCCCCTCCCCCTCTCCCCCTCCTCTCCTCTTCCCTCCTCGCTCCTCGTCTCTCCTTTCCTCTCTCCCCTCTCCTCTCTCCTCTCTCCTTTCTCCTCCCCTCTCTTCACTTCTCCCCTCCTCCCCCCTCCTCTCCCCTCCCCTCCTCTCCCCTCTCCCCTCTCCCCTCCTCTCCCCCCCTGTCATCCACTCCCCTCCCCTCTCTCCTCGGCGCGGCCCTGGCGGCCCTGTCCTCTTCTCGTCTCCTCTCCTCTTTCCTCTCCTCTTTCCTCTCCTCTCCTCTCCTCTCCTCGCCTCTCCTCTGCTCTCCTCTCCTCTCCTCTCCTCTCCTCTCCTTCCTTTTCGGCGCGGGGGGGGCGGGCGCGGCGGGCGGGGGGGCCGAAAAAGAAGGGGAAGGGGCGGTGGAGGGGCGGGCGGGAGTGGCGGGGTGGGCGGAGGCGGCGGAGGCTGATTTCAGGGGTGTCCCAGGGAAATAGTGAGGAACGCGGGTTTTAACAGCGGGAACCTTGCCCTAGCTTCAATAGGCTCTCGCCGTAACGGTTTGGACGGCCAGGCGGGGGGGAGGAGGAGAAGGAGGAAGGAGGGGGGCCGAAACTGGCACTGGCCCCGGGCTCGGAGACACTCACCAGACGTGCGGTGACCGGTGCAGCGAGAGAGGCACGCGCGATGGACAGCAGCGGCAACAGCAGGAAGAGGAAGGCAGACGGCAGGGAGGAGAGGGGAGGACGAGCCCCCGGGCCCGGTTGCGGCCCGGTCCGGTCCGCAACCGGATGGCCCTCCTTTCCGCCTCCGAGGCGCTCGTCGTGGCCAAGGCTGGCTTCGTCTCGAAGTCATTTTCCAAACGCACCCCTGGGCATCGCAGTTTTTGTTTTGCATCGTGGGCTGTCGGGGGAGCCTTGTGGGCGTCTCGGGAGCGTGAGAGGGGGGGGTCTTGCGAGTTAAGTGAAGGGCTGGAAATGTTCGTTCGGCCCCCTCCTGTGAAGGGGCCCTGGGACACACAAATAAATACACAAAAACAAAATATTCCCCATCCTTTCCTATATTTTCTGGGTTTTTGTCTTCCCCCCCACTTCCCATATTTTCCATATTTTCTGGAGAATCGAAGATTAATTGTGTCTGTGTGTTTCTTTCCCTCCTTATCCTGGACCGCTGGGCTCGTGGGGGGCCTCTTTCCCGCCTCCTCGGTGCTGCTTGGGGCCGCTCGGAGGCTTCTTGGGCTCGCCTGGGGGCCGCTTGGGGGCCTCCTCGGAGCATCCTGGACTGCTTCTTGAAGTCGACCTTCTTGGCATGTCTTCGGGGGCCTCCTAGAAAGAGTGTTGAGGCTGAAGCCTTTGAGGTGCCATCTGGGGGCCTCTCGGGGCCTCTTTTGGGCCTCTTGGGGGCCTCTTGGGGCCTCTTGGGGCCTCTTGGGGGCTTCCTGGGGGCATCTTGGGGCGGAGAGCTTGATTTTTCGGCTCGCGTTTCCCCTCTTGGGCCCCTTTTGGGGCCTTCTTGGGACCCTCTTGCGCCGTCTTGGGCGGCTCTGGGGCCGTCTCGGGGCTCTCTCGGGCCGTCTTGGAGCTCTCTTGGGGGCCTTTTGGGCCGTCTTGGAGCGGTTTGGGGGCCTCTTGGGCGGTGCTTTAGCGCCGGAAACACGAATCAGCGAGAATGCAAAAAATCATTGACAAAAAACCAGGTCGCAATCGACGATATTGCCCTCTCGGGGCGCTATTGGGCGGTATCTTAAAGGCCTCTTGGGGCGTCTCGGGGGCCTCTGGGGCAGCTTAAAGTGCATCGTGCGTCGCCAGAGACCCCTGGACGGCGTCTTGGGGGTGTCTCGAGACCGTCTGGGGCCGCCAGGATTGCTGTCTGAGGGCTCCCCGGGGCGATTTTAGGCCTCCCAGAGGCGGGCCAGGGCCCCGGGCCACACATTTGTGGTCGAGGCTCCGGCCCCCGGCCCCCGGACCCGGTCCCCCGTTATATGTATTGTATAAGTTGAACGCGACGGCGACGCGTCGGCTCCGCTCTCTGAAGCAAAATGTTAGCAATATCCCGCGTCCACCATGCGCTGTAACACCAGCCGCTTAGCATAATCATACAGCGCCACATCCTGTTCGTTCATTCGCTCCGCGGCTCTCATCTGCTCGGGAGTAAACCTGGTGATGCATCCAGACCTCGAATTGTGCTGATTTCGGTACGCAGATTCGAAAGGAATACGATTGTGCAAACCCATGACAATCTTGGCCATGAAATCTTCAAATGCCACAAAATTAAGCCACTCTGTGATGGCGACGCCATGGAAGGCAACGAGGCGCTGCTTGGCTCGTTCGAGTTCCTGGCTGCTCGCCCTGCCCCAAAACATTTTGTTGTTCACATGTCTGCTGTCGCCTACCGCTTCGCTCCACACGTAATGCTCGTCGCTTGTGCCAGCCAGAGCCTTGACGTAAACATCCGCGCCGCACATGTACAGGGGGACCGCAATATCCGCGCTTACAGGGGCGTCGGCCCGGAGACTGTAGCACTCGCGAATTCTCTGGAGCTCAGCCTCGACAGAGTTGTTAGCCAAGCACTTCTCAGACGAAAGGACCTTCGCGTCCTGGACCTTGCATGATTCATCTCGCTGCGCGATGTTCATACTAACGAGAGACAGGGTCCTTCTCAGTGGTTCTCGTATGTTAATGATAGCGATTGTAATCTTAGCTCTCGGGCCAGCAAGGTATTCGAAGTAAAAATAATTGTTGATGGACGCCCCCTCTCTCTCCCAAGCGCAATCCGTTCTGTTTTTCAGAACGGTGCACGCGGAACGAACCCAGTGCCTCAACGTCGACCCGCCCGCTTTCCGCATGTGCATCAGCAGAATCTGCTTCCCAGCGTCTGGCACTGGGGACCCTCCGTGCCGGGGCCTGTTGTCGGGGACTTCCCCGAAGCGCTCCAGAGGCATCGCTGGATCACGCAGAGGGCTGCACGTGCTGACGCGGAGCCCCGCCGGCTCGCCAGAACTGTGGGCCGTGGCCTCCACCGGCTCGCCGCGCCCAGCCCCCGCCGGCCCGCTGCGGCAGGCCTGACGCTGCAGGTCGGGGACGACGCGCAGGTGGTGCTTCAGCAGCGCGTCCTGCAGCAGGACGAGGCAGGCACAGCACGATGCGTGCACGACCACGAAGCACCGCACGCGCGCCCAGCGGCCGCTGAGGAAGACTGGCGTGGCGTCTGCTGTATCCGCCATGGTGGCAGCGGCGGAACTGAAGGCCAGCAGGATCTTGTGCCAAAGTGGCTACGCTACGGAGGCGTTCTCGGGGCCCCTTTGGGGCCCTCTTGGGGCTCCTCCTGAGCTTTCATTGGGCCTGCTCGGGGCCCCCTTGCCCACCTTCCCACGGTGCTCCCCGCTCCTATTGTCAGGGGAATGGGAATGAAATGGCGGCAGTAGGTCGCTTCCCCCCCACTTAGCGTGTACCTGGAATGCACCCCCTCTCCCCCCTCCCCCCTCCCCTTTCCACCCCTTTCTGTATTTTCCCTCCCACTTCTTTTTTAGATTTTCCAGGGTGCTCTTGGGGGGATCTGTTGGGTTCTCTTGGGGCGCTGTTGTGGGCCGTTGGGACCCCTTTTGGGTGAGCCCTTCCTGGGCGTCTTCGGGGCCCCCTTGGGCCGGTCCACAAGGCCTTCCCGCAGTCCGACCAACCCTGAGAGACCCCAGGACGTCCATGGATTTTTAGTGTGGGAACGTCACGCTTTCCATAGCAAAACCATCGAGACCCAAGAAACCCGGCGCACCCTGGAGGCAAGCAGGGTGCTTCTTGGCATGTGTCTCCGCTGCGCAGAAGAACAGCCTTCCAGAACATGGGGCCCTCCGCCGGCCAACGCACGCAGAACAGCCAAAAGTACCCTCCCCAACATACACAGGCACATCCGGCAAACACGAAGAACATGAGGGCACCCTCCCCGAACCGACCTCGATCTTGAACCTCGGTTCGACCTTTTCCCATACATCTACTCCACGGACCTCTCCTGGTGCGCATTCCGGCCGTCTTCGACGCGGTCGACGCCGAAGCGGTGAACATCGTTGAAATGCACGTTTTCCGAAGGGAATGGGGCCATTCTTGTTTCTGGATGCGCTCTTGGGAGTCCTCTTGGGGGACTCTTGGGCCATCGTGGGGGCTCCCTGATGCCGTCTTGGAGCCATCTTCGGCGTCTTGGAGCGACAATTCGGGGACTCTGGGCCGTCTTGGACGTTTGGAGACCTCCTGGGACTCTCGGGTGGCGTTTGGGGGCTGTCTGGGGCTGTCTCGGGGGGGCCCCAGAGGCCCCCCGGTGCCCTCGGGGAGCGTCTCGGGGGACTCCTGGATAGTCGAGGGTTCCTCTTGAGCTGTGTTCGCGGCCTCTTGGAACTCTCTTTGGCCGTCTTGGGGCGATGTTGTCGGCTCCTGGGGCCGTCTTCGACGCGGTCGACGCCGAAGATGTGAATATCGTAAACATGCATGCTTTCCACAAAAGAATGGGACCTTTTTTGCTTCTGGCGGTGCTCTTGGGAGTCCTACTGGGGGGACTCTTGGGCCGTCGTGGGGGCTCCCGGAGGCCGTCTGGGAGCCATCTCCGGCGTCTTGGAGCGACGATTCGGGGACTCTGGGCCAGGGCTCGAGTTAACCAGTGTTTCTCGTTTTCGTTTTGTCTTCGTCATCCTAGTTCTGACTTCGCTACACAGTTGCTGCAAAGCGAAGTCAAAACGAAAGCGGCCCCAAAACTGCCAAAACACAGTGTAGCTCGAGCCTTGCTCTGGGCCCTCGTGGACGTTTGGAGACCTCCTGGGGCCTCCTGGGACCCTGGGCCGTCTTGGGGCGATGTTGTCGGCTCCTGGGGCCGTCTTCAACGCAGTCGACGCCGAAGCGGTGAATATCGAAAAAAGTTACAATTTGGGGATTCTGGGCCCTCGCGGACGTTTCGAGACCTCCTGGGGCCCTCGGGTGGGCCTTCGGGGCTGTCAGGGGCCGCCGCGGGGGGGCCCGGAACTCCCATGCCCTCCCGTGGCCCAGGCCCCGGGCGCCCGGGCCTCGTGCACAGGGATATCTATATATATATATATATATATATATATATATATATATATATATATATATATATACCAGGAGGCCGAAATCAATGAAGGCTGAAATCCAAATCAACCAAATGATCGGAGACTGGGTAAATTAAACTGGAAAATCGGGCGGGCCGACTACAAAAGCACTACACTCGGGCCAACGGCCTAGACGAGGAATCACATATTCGGGCCAGTGCTGAAATTAGCTCGTTCAATCCGACATCATGCGTCTGCTAGTCAGCCAGTACCTCACGGCCGCAATCTTACGACGGCCATCAAACAAATCAAAAATGAATTCCATGGCCCGCGCGCGCACCCTTACGGGCTCGGGCGGAAAATCGAACCAGCGGCAGCGAACGAAAACAAAATAGCGTGCAGAAGCTCTTCCAGCCACGGGCCAGGGCGGCCGCCGTAAACATTAAAACAGACGTAGAAACAAAATAAAATCCGGACGAGCCAAGTTGAAACTCAGCACGCTGGCGAGGGCTTAGACAACGAAAAAAGGTTAGCACAACGAACAACGAAACGAACAACGAAACGAATGATCCAGAGCCGTGGCTGGGGTAGGCCAGAAGAGGCCTCGGGCTGCGGCAAGGGCCAAGGGCTAGGGGCAGGGAGGTAAGGCGGTGTTCTGGCTCGAACTTGGGCAACAACGGCGAAAAAGAAGCCTTGGCGCAAACGCAAAAACACACTGGGCGCGAAACAACGAAAAACGTACACAGATACTGGAGATATTTCGACTGTGGGTTGGACAGAACTCCCACCGCGCGCATGAGGACTTCTGTTTTGTTCATAACAGCCATCGTACACCCAAACCCATGTTAACTTCAACATCCAATCGGTCATTATCACTTAAGTCTCCACGCCAGCATGGCAAATCTATTGTGGACAATACAGAACTCCAAACGCGATCGCGCGGGGGAAGTTCTGCGTTGTCCATAACAGCCCTCATCCACCCAAACCCATGTTCACTTCAAACTCAAATTTGTCACCCTTAAGGGTTCGCTTCAGTTCCCAAGCCGGCACGGCAACTTTTCGATTGTGGGCAATAAAGAAATTCGCAGCGCGCGCGTGAGAAGTTCTGTGTGTCCCATAGCAGACATCCTAACAAACCAAAATTAACTTCAAAATATGATCGGTCACCGTTAAAGGCACTTTAGCTTCCAGGCCAACATGGCGACTGTTCGACTGTGGACAATACAGAGCGCCCAGGAGCGCGCGCCGCGGCGCGCGCGCGCGAGAAACTATGTGTTGACCGCCACAGACATCGCACACCCAAGCCCATGTCAGCTTCAAAATCCAACCGGTCACCGTTAGGGTGCTCACTTTAGTTTCAAGGCCAACACTGCGACTTTTCGGTTGTGGAAAATAGAAAACTCCCAGAGCGCGGGCGCGGGGGAAGTTCTGTGTTGCTCATATCAGACATCATCCACCCAAACCCATATTAACTTCAAAATCCAATCGGTCACCGTGAAGGGTTAGCTTTAGGTTTCTTACCCAACACTGCCACTTTCGATTGTAAACAAGGCAGAACTCCCAGAGCGCGCGCGCGGCGGGAGCGCGCGCGTGAGGAGTTCTGGGTTGCCCATCACGAACACCATACACACAAACCCACGTTGACCCGTAAATCTCCCATCGGCCACCGACAAGGGGTCACTTGGGTTCCCAGGCCAACATGGCAATCCTTCGGTTGTGGACAATACAGAGCTCCCAGTGCGCGCGCGTGAGGTGTTCTGCGTTGCACATAACAAACATCATACATCCATACCCATGTGAACTTCAAGTTGCCACCGGTCATCGTTAGGGGTTCACTTTAGTTTCCAAGCCAACGCGGCGACTTTCCGATTTTGAACAACGCAGAACTCCAAGCGCGAGCGCGCGTGAGTTCTGTGCTGTTCATAACAGACACCAGACACCCAAACCTATGCTAACTTCAAATTCCAATCCGTCACCGGTAAGCGCCCACTTTAGTTTCCAGGCCAACATGGCGACTTTTCGATTGTAGGCAATACAGAACTCCCAAAGCGCGCGCGTCAGGAGTTCTGTGCTGTCCATAGCAGACGTCATATACCCAAACCCATTTTAACTTCAAAAACCATTCGGCCACCAGTAAGGGTTCACTTTAGTATCCAGCCAGCGTGCAATCGCCACCTTCCGCCTCTCTTCTCTACCCTCTCCGCTCTTGCCTCCTACCTGGCCCCTATCCTGTCTCCTACCTCGTCTCACCTGGGTGCTCATCCTACCTGTCTCCTGGCTGTTTGCTAGCCTATCTCCTACTTCGCCATCCCTGGGGGGGGAATGCGAACTGCGAAACTGTCACCGCTTTGGAGGCCTACTGGGTGTCTACGCTGCTCCAGTTGCGGGGCACCGCTAAGGGTTCACTTTAAGGTCCAAGCCAACCTGAAGCACTCCCATTGCGAACAGTGCAAGACTCACCACGCGCAGCCGCGCGCGCGCACGCGCGTCGCACGCTGCTCCGATTGATGAACATGTAGCAAAAGCAGCGTTAACTTCAAGAGCCAGTCGGCCACCGCTAAGGGTTCATTTTAGTTTGCAAGCCAACCTGGCGGCTTTCCATTGTGGACAAGACAAGGCTCACCACGCTCGGCCGCGCGCGCGTACGCGCGCCGCCCGCTGCTCCTATTGATGAACATGTAGGACAAGTCGTACTAACTTCGAAATCCAAACGGTCACCGCTAAGGGCCCACTTTAGTTTCCAAGCCAACACTGCGGCTTTCCCAGTGGGCAATACAAGGCTCACCACGCGCGCGCATACACCTCGCCTCACCTGGGGCCTCATCCTACCTGTCTCCTGCCTGCCGGCAAGCCTATCTCCTATTTCGCCATCCCTGGTTAACTTTTAGGTTCCAAGCAAACATTGCGACTCTCTAGTTATGGGCAATACAAGACTCACCACGCGCGGCCGCGCGCGCACCCGCGCCGCACGCTTTTCCTATTGATGACTATGTACGAACAGCCGTTTTAACTTCAAGATCCAACCGGTCACCGCTAAGGGTTCACTTTAGTTTTCAAGCCAACATGGCGACTCGCCCATTGTGGACAATGCAAGGCTCACCACGCGCGGCCGCGCGCGCGCACGCGCGTCGCACGCTGCTCCCATTGATGAACATGTAGGACAAGCCGTGTTAACTTCGAAATACAATCGGCAGCCTTTAAGGGTTCACTTTCGTTTCCAAGCCAACACTGCGG